GAAAATAATTAATAATAAAGAAAATTAATTAGAGAAACTCGAATAAAATATAAAATGTTTATAAATGTTCATCCTATGAAGTAATTTTATTGAAAGACGATCGTTACTTAGCAACGTTATGTAATGTAATTGATTCATGGTTGATTGTATTACATAAAACAATTTGCATTTTCCATAGCTTTGACTTAAATATCTCTTATTAGTTCCATAATGAACGAAAAAATTTTCTTCCAAGCAAAAATAGATGTAACATTAATATATCTAAAAGTGGCTAACGCCATCTTTGTCTGAAATAAATATAATGAAGAGATCGAGCTTTATTCTATTGAATTGAAGTTTTTTAAGAAAATCTATGCTGATCTTTTTTTCTATACGATAATTCGAATGTTCAAGACATTTAAAATAAGGTTGTGGATGAAATTATAGTACGAAAGGCATGCATCAAGAATGCAGTAAAAACCAAGAAAATATGTTGAGATTGATGCTCGCCTCTATAAATGCATGTCTAAGCCGAACAGGGATGAATGATAAAATTCTAGTAAAGATTTAGTTGTGATGACATACTCCCACGTTCTCATTGAATAGTCTCTGTTGGGTATCTCGACGAGATTCCAACTACAAAATATACAAATACTTCCAAGTCGCATGAAACTTTCAGGATTTGTATATCATAGTTAGCTATTAAAATTCTCAAGACCAGTTTTTTAAATTTCATTAATAAATAGGTATATAATGGAGTGATATTTTCTACGGTTTTTAGGTATAATCGTAAAAATTCAGACTTTTTCGAAAGTGGTCCTGCACAGTAATCTTAAAAAGCAAATAGATAAAATATTAACTATTATATATGTTCTGATAGCTTCTGATCTGGACCACATTTTGATTACAAAATATTGTGATTTTGCAATTATGTTGACAATATTATTCTTTTATGCATATAGCGCATTGATTAAATTTTAGTACATATTTTGTACTGAAAAAACGTTGGGAAAAATGGAATTTGGGGGTATAGCCATATATAGGGTTCTGTAGAGAATCGATTGCTCTACAACATGCACTAGACTCGAGTTCTCGCGTTTTTCGATCTGACAAAATAGGAAACAAAGAAAGATGAAAAATCCGCGGTTTTTTTTTATATTTACAAGAACTAGTTTCATATAAGTCACGGCCAAGATCGGTCGATCGAGATCATTACATCTTCCTCAAGCTGAGGTATGCTGTAGAGGGAAGATTTTTGACGAATGGTACTTTAAAAAATATTATCCCGTTCTCGAGATATTTAAATTTCTTTGAAGACAGTATCGTCAAAACAGCACATTTTTTTGGTGATTTTTT